TGGTGGCTCTACTTGCTGAGGATTTTCAACCACATCGTTATCCTCTTCTTCTTCATGTTTATGGTTCTGTGAGGAGAGAGGGAGCTCTTGAAGCATGAACAAGGACCAGGTGATGAAGCTCTTGGATAATAAAGTCTATGGTTTTGGAGAGGTAGATTCATCAAGAGAATTAGCTGAATAAAATAGGAAACTTTTTCATGGATTCTCATCAAAATTAATCAGTAGTTTAGATAAAATTCAGCTAGTTTTTGCAGAGTGGAGAAGTTGAAAGATCTATGTGGAGGAGATAAAAATCCATGAAAGAGGTGCACTTCTGTTTCTTTATGCGATGAAAACCGCCAACTCGAGGGGGCCAATCAACCTTCAAAAACATGTCTTTTTAAATCAATAGCCTCTTCCAATGCATTGCTTAAGACCTTGCCGAGGTATTTTTTTTTTTTCCCCCTAGCTAGCTTGTGATGTAGCCTCATGGACCTTAGAATGTGAGTATAATAGAAACTGAGTTGCAACTCTCGGGAGGTTATTCAGCGCATTGCCGCTGTAACAGTTTAATTCTTATATTTGACTGTTGCCGCGACAATGTGCTGAATAAACTTACGACTCACTGGTAGTTAAGCCAATGTGACGACAACAACTCTATTGGTTGTTAGTCATTAGCTCACAAGACAGACGTGACTTAAACTTTGGCAACATTTTCATTAGTGTTTAGTAATGATGATTATTATTACATCTCCTACTCCTACGTAATAAAGATTGCATCTAGCTAATTAAAATATATATGAAAATATTGTAACTCATTAAGAAAATTGGAGATCATTGCGTGTAGAAAGGAAATCAATCTTTTTTGTAATAGGAAAATAGAAAACTCTTAAAAATTCACTTATATGATTAAGAAGATCGCTCTTGCTTGTAGTCCCTTTTATTTTCCTCTTCTTTCGTTTTAGGGTTAATCAGGTCACCAAGAAAATCAGAAGATACTTTGTTTTCTTGCTGGACACGAGACTTACCAAAGTTTCGTCTTTGATAGGTTTTGTTTCCATCGAATCATAGCAATTTCGTCTCTAATTTGTGTGATAGTTTCGTGGCTTTAAATACAGTAAATTGAAAAAAAATTAGGGCTAAAGACTGCTTCTTTTGAAATCCGGTGATCTTTTTTGGTAATTGCAGAGAAACAAATATATTGGTAAAAACTCTTTCAACGCCATGGAAACTGATAATAAGGTTGAAGCTAGAAAAGCAATGGATATTGCTGAGAAGTTACTTTCAAAGGACAATTAGGTGGGAGCTAAGAAATTATTGACTCTAGGTCTTGATCGAAGCCTTCTGCTTA